TAACGGTAGTGCCGAGACAAAAGGCAAATGCATGCTCTTTTGTTACAGGCAAAAATAAACATTCCTATGCCGATTTGGAACGTGTGTCTCAGGAGGAAATCTTTACTGTTTTTGAAGACATTCCATTTAATGTAGTTTCAAATATTGATGACAGTTTTGATAACGAAGAGGAAACAGATTTAATAAAAAATATGAATCAAAGTATTTTTGTGAGTCTTTACCGATTATCTTGGAAGACGCCGTTTCACTGGAAAACCAACTTGAGGACGTCTCAGAGACAAATTATACTAAATCAGATTAGAGTGACGATGATGATACTCCGTTATATACACGTAGAAGAAAATATTTTCTTTCAAATACAATTCGGGCTAGAGACTCCCAAAATTGCATTCACTATAAAAACAAATTTAATGAACCAGCCAGACAATATTGATTGTCCTACGTATGTATTTCTTCAACTATTTACAAAGGACCTTATTGATAATATTGTCTTTTAAACCAATCTATATGTGGTCCAAAATAGCGACGGTGACGAGAATAGATTTAGACAAATTAATGAAGAACAAATGCAGTTATTTTAGCAATGAATTTACTAATGGGAATAAAGGGACGTCCTAGTATTAGAGACTACTGGTCTTCCAGAGCGGATCTTCGAGATCTGTATATTAGTTCTTGTAAGTATGCCAAGAGATCGGTTTGTGGGATTGCTCAAAAACTTGCAGTTAAATGCAGTTCATTCTCTTCAACCTAAAAGACCTGAGGACTAATGGACTAAATGAGGACAAAACTTAGGCCTTTACTGAATCATTTATCATAATCGTTTTTTGCTTGTTCTAACCTCTAAGAAAATCAAGCAATAGACGAGTCAATGATAAAATTTAAAGAAACCCGTAAGAGGAGGCCACTAGGTCTGGATCAGGGCCGACGAATCCGGATTTGTATGCCAGTTCAATGTTTATACAGGAAAAGTTGCTGATACTACAGAAAAAAATAAGGAGATAGAATTGTAAAAGATCTTACTCGTAAATTGGTAGGAAAGGACCATGAAGTTTAATTCGACAATTTCTGTAATTCTGTGGAACTAATAAAAAATTCAGGCGAAGACATAATTTACGCATGTGGAACAGCAAGAAAGGGAAGACAGACCACACCAACGGATATAATAGCGGACAATGAATTAGCGAGAAGGAAATCGAATTGGCGAGTTAGCAAAGATGGTGCAGTTTTTATAAAATGGAAAGACAGAAAGGATGTTTTGTTTATAAGTAATTATGATAAATCCCGAACATATTGGAACAGTGTCTAGGAAGATGGTATTATGAAGGACATTGTTTGTCCAATACTAGTCAAGGACTATAATACTAACATGGGTTTTGTTGACAAAATGGATATGGCAGGGGAAATTGAGCATTCCCAAATAGGGAAATAATGGCACCGTTTTTTTGTATTTTTTGTACGTATCGCTAGTAAACGCCTTTATTACTTTCAAAACTAGATCCGATGGACAATCGCTTACGTTGAAGATGTTAAGATCAGCAGTCATAAACGGACCAACTAGCACCTAACCTAACGTACTAAGAAGAGGATGCAAAAGAGCTAATGACACTGAAGTAAACCATTTCAAGTACACGGTACCCTTAGAAGCCGGATTTGTTAAATGTACACAATATGCCAATTCACATAAAACCAAGGAGATGTGCCATTTGCAGCACTAAAAAAGAACCACACAAGTCTGTCAAAATAAATTTCTTCTCTTAAAAATTCGTTATTAACCGACGGCCTAGTATCCTAATACTTATGACACGGTCTATAGCCTTTGTTATAGTGTATTTTTATGTATGAGAGAGTAATAAAACAATAAATTATGTATGCAAATCCCTAAACTGTTGATACGGGTGACTCAATGAAAAACAGATATTTGTCAACAAGTTTACAGAAGTATATAGGAAAACAATTTTAAATTGAGTATGACCACCAGGTATAAAGGTTGGAGTCAGAATAGAATACAATAGTTGTGAGGGTTACTAATCCCTAAATAAGGTTGCCAGTGTCGGAGTGATGGAGGTTAACAGGTACTAATGAATTTGCAAGAAATGTAAGATGTTTATTTTATTGGTTATATATAACCAATAAAAGTTTAATAAGTACTACCTATTTGCAAAATCAAGTTTAATTCTTTAGATAAAATAAAACGTTTTATTTTATCTGAAATGTGTGCATTCCACGAAGTAAGGGTTTCAACAATCAAACATTTAATTCTTTAATTCCAGGAATCTACGACAGTAATTGACTAGATAATTACCTTCTAAACTTATTCCACAGAAAATGTGATAGTGGGTTTTTCCATTTTGTAGGAAGGTCCAAGTGGCGTATTCAAAATTCTTAACAGTTCACTAAAAGTAGGTACTTCAGTTGCAAGGTGCAGTTTATTGTGTATACTAGTGTTATGGAAAATTTGGAAGTGCCGTGTAAACACCGAAAAATTGGTCCTTTAACAGTTAATGAAAAAACATTAATATTTAATTGTTTTAAAATTATTTACAGACAAACGTTTATGTGAAAGTGTTGATGAGACCGTTGAGTTCGTTAGCAGTACACTTGATGTTGGGAAATCTACGATTTACAGAGTTATTAAAGAAGAGAAATGTGGTAGTTTTCAAATGCCACGTAATGCTCCAGGGAAACCAAAATTTCAAACAGAATATCATTTTAAAGAAGGACTTCTACGGAAAGTGCATGAATTCTTCTTTAGACAAGAATTTCCAACATTGGATAAAGTTCTTGTCTCAGTTCGAGATGATAAGGATTACCCAGAAATGAGTCGAAGTACGTTATGGAAACTTTTAAAAGAAATAGGCTTCCGCTGGAAAAAGAATCCCAGAAAGTCTATTTTATTAGAAAGAAGCGATATTGTCATATGGAGAAGACATTTTCTAAGAACCATAAAGGAAATGAGAAACCAAAAAAGAAAAATATTTTATCTTGATGAAACATAGATCAAAGAGGGTCATACACCAAATAAATTTTGGCAGGATGAAACTGTTACAAGTCAAAGGCACGCTTTTGTAAATAACTTATCTACTGGTTTAAACCCACCATCAGGAAAGGGCGCAGGCTGATAATAGTACACATTGGCAGTTCAGACGGTTTTGTTGAAGGTGGTTTATTAACTTTTGAATCAACTCGTACCGGTGACTACCATGAAGACATGAACGCTGATGTCTTTCAAGAATGGTTCGAACAAATGATAGATCTTCTTCCTAAGAACTGTGTAATAGTATTGGATAATGCAAGTTATCACTCCAGACTTATAGAAGGACTGCCCACAACCAAGTGGTTAAAAAAAGACTTGCAGAATTGGCTGAGTTCAAAAAATATTACGTACCATCCCGGATCTATAAGAAAGGAACTTTATTCGTTGTGTGCCCTTCATAAAGAAAAATTTAAAAAATACGAAATTGATGAAATTGACAAAAATCGTGGAATGACAGTACTTAGATCCCCACCATATCATTGTGAATTAAACCCGATTGAACTGGTATGGGCACAGATAAAGAGTGAAGTTTCAAGAAAAAAATACCACTTTTAAAATTCATGATGTTAAACAGTTGTTTTTGAAGGCCGTAAATAATGTAAAAACCTGAAAACTGGGAAAAGGCAGTAAATCACACTATTAAAGAAGAGGAAAAAATATGGAAGCTGGACAATATTACTGATAAAATGATCGAGCCAGTTATTATAAATCTTGGTTCTGAAAGTTCATCTTCTGAATCTGATTTGGATTTGTAACAAGTAGCTGTAAGTTTTATATTAATATTTTTATTGATCTATTTAACATACCTTAGACGGTTTTAAAAACTCTTTTTCTCTTTTGTAATTTTTAAAAATTAAAAAAAATGTGAATTTTTTAAAACCCTTTTTAATGTAGGCCAGTCAGTTCTAATATAGTGTGTGATAAAAGAGGTCACTTTTGTTTACATACACATAACACTGAAATAATTCATTTATTTTTTTACAATTATTCAAAGTAATTTTTCAATTAATCTTGAGCACGCCCCATGGAGTGGTCGGAGGTACCAGTTAAAATTATGCTAATTAATATCTCGTTCATAAAAATAAACTATAGCTGATAAAAAAATAAAAAATACAATATATTGTTATTAACAAAAAAATGATTTATATAAAAAAAAAACAAAAAAAACTTGTTAAAAGTAAAAAAAATAATTCCGGCGTCAAAGGGTTAAGATATTTGCGGCGTCACTTGCCTTAGTAGTTTTTAAATAAAGTAAAAATAAAATTATTTAATTACCATTTAAATAAGTATCTTTATCGACCAATGACTTTTTTACAACTAGCTTTTATAACTGTTTATTTTTTGTAACAAAACTCTCTTAGGTAAAATCTAACTATCTTACATATACTTCCAGCTTTGATGTCATATTTCTCCGAAGTAACTTACCCTGTTATGTATTATTGCCTTTGGCTAAATCAAACTAGAAAATATATTCTGAAAATATTTTTCTCGAAATGAAATATTCGCGACGGAAATTTAATGCTATAGATTTACATGTTTTATGAAAAGAGATATTTGCATGAAAACTTGCACAAATATTGCAAGTTTAATCATTTTAGTAGAGTTGATAAAATATCTGCCAGCACGGCAATACTATATGAGGTTGTAGGATTCATCATTTATAATAAATCAGAGTCTGAACCTACGAATAGTGAAATTAATATTTGTTGCTATAGTTTAGAGCGATTTAAGCAAAAAACTGCATTTATATGCTTCACAGACAACTTAAAACACGCGCCTATACTGTAAATGCAGCTTGTCAAAGATTCTACAGATAAAATTGATTGATATGGCGCAACTAATGAAGTGTTATATAAATTACTTTAAAAACGAAAAATTATTGATGCAATTTATTATAAATTAGTTAAAATTGAACATAATATAAATCTTCTGGTAAATAATCTTTACAGAGAATGTTTTTGATCTATTAATTACAATATTCTCTCATGGTGTCCACTGTACAAGGATTATAGCAACATTCTCTGACAATTCCTCCATCTGATTTTCGAATTTTGTTAGGAAGAAGAGAGAGTACGGAATCCTTCGAAAGGTAAGGATAAAGTAGATCGTTGTCGCTGTAGTCTGAGTCAATGGTGTTTATAAAATCACTCTCCATATTCATTAGGTCGTTATCTGAAAAGTAAATAAAGAAATGAGTCAATATCACAATAAAATTTTTTTTTTCATGAAATCTAAAAATATTTACTCACTGGCAAAATTAACGGAACACCTTAAAAATGGAACTTGTTAGATTTCTTGAATTTCCTAAGCCTGTTGTCCAATTTTGGTGATTTTTTTAGTATGTTATAGTTATATTATTTATGAATATGGATGTAATAATATTGTTGCTAGACAGGTCAATGTCATTTTATACCGGGTGCAACAATCATACTGTGTTTTTTTTGTGAAAGTTCGGAACACCCCGTGGAATATTCTAGTATATATAAAATATTGAAATTAAAACTTAATTATAGCCTCAGGCTTTCTTAACATTTTCTTTTTTGATTCATTTGCTTCTGTTTGAAAATAAAAAAGTTAGATACGTTAACAACTAGCCATGTTTTTCATTACAAAATCCTCAAATAACATCGACGGTAGAGAAAGATTGTATCGACGACAAGGAGAACGAAATGCCCTTTTAATTTTACTACGACCGTATCTTTTGGTGGAGCTTCAATTATGGTGTGCGGCGGTATATGTTTGGGAGCAAGAACAGTAGTTAATGATTGATGATTGAGGAGTTAGTGATGATTGATGATGGAGCATTAACAGCAGATAGGTATATCAGAGATATTCTCCAATACCATGTGGTACCTTTTGCATCACATATTGGCGAAAATTTTATTTTAATGCAGGATAATGCGCGCCCACACGTCGCAGGCTGTGTGAGAGATTACTTATTACAAGTGGGTATAACAACGATGAATTGGCCAGCTTGTTCCCCAGACCTGAACCCGATAGAGCATGTGTGGGACGTGCTAGGCAGAAAACTTAGGGCACAGGTTCATGCTATTCAAAACAGAGAGGAAGTCAGAATTGCTTTGATTGAGGAATAGGAGAGACTGCCTCAACAACTCATCGATAGTGTTATCAGAAATATGAGAAGATGAATAACTGCAGTTGTAAGGGCTCGTGGGAAAAACACACGCTATTAAAGCCAAAAAATGCATAAAAAACCAATTTAAGTTCAAACTGTACAATAAAGTTAATGTGTTTAAAATCCGTATTTTGTTTGAGTCTGACATCTTTGTGTTTTGTTTCTTCTTAAACAGGTTTCATATTGTACTAGCATTGTAATATAAATTCAAAATGCTTCGCCAACATTTGTATTATGATATTATCTAAACAATATTAACAATATATAGACTAGAGAGAAAATACTCAGATTTTATTGTTGTTCCTTTAAATATGCAGGTGAAACTAAGCAAAAAATGAGCATTTGATGAAAAACATGGCTAGTTGTTAAAGTACCTAACTTTTTTATTATCCAATACAGGCAAATGAATCAAAAAAGAAAATTTTAAGAAAGCCTGAGGCTATAACTGAGTTTTAATTTCAATATTTTATATATGCTAGAATATTCCACAAGGTGTTCCGAACTTTAAGGAAAAAACATAGTATGATTGTTACACCCGGTATAAAATAACACTGACCTGTCTACCAACAATATTATTACATCAATATTCTTAAATAATATAACAATAACAATCTAAAAAAATCACTTAAATCGGACAACAGGTTTAGGATATTCGAGACATCTAACATGACCCATTGTTAAGGTGTTCCGTCATTTTGCCGGTGAGTGTAATATAGCTAAAGCACGTGAAAAGGATTAGTGTCATAAACTTTTTGACAATTATTGTTCACCTATGATGTATTATAATTGTAGAATGTTCAGAATTTCGTAATACGTGCTACAAAAGTGATTGTATCTACACTATAAATATCGCTATATAGATGCTACGAAGTGAAGTGAAGTGAAGTCTGAAATTCTTGCCTTATAAGCTAAAGTACCACGTGGACTGATAAAAGTAATCTTCTTAGACAATTAGGGAGCTGAACTATCAAAAAAATTATTTCTCGAAAGTTTTAGGGCTACATTTTAAATTTAAGCAGGGTATAGCTATTAGTATCATATGGTATGGACATGTGAGCCGAATGGGGGACGAAAGATTGCCTAAAAAAACGATGATGTGGCAACCCCCAGAGAAGAGAAAACGAGGAGGACCACCACAGAGCTGGAACCTGGGAGTTAGGAAAGCGATTAGCGCTCGAAATCTGGACGAAGACCTAACTCAAGACAGAATACAGTGGCGGTTGGGAGTCGGACAACGTCGTAAGACGTTATAAAACCGAATGTATATATATATATATATATATATATATATATATATATATATATATATATATATATTTATATATATATATATATATATTTATATATATATATATATATATATATATATATTTATATATGTATATATATATTTATATATATATATATATATATATATATATATATATATATATATATATATATATATATATATATATATATATATATATAGCTATTAGTATCTTTTCGACAGCTGCATAAATTCGAAGTGTTTGAAAAAACGGTATATGGAGAAAAACTATTTCTGATCTTTCATTAAATATTATTATGTAAAACATAAAACGGTGAGAGGAACACAAGAGATACTAAATGAATAATTATTATGGACCTAATGCTTGTTTTTATACATACCATAAATACAATTACCATACATTTCTACATATAAAAGCGTTTCTGATAGGGAGTAAAAAAAGATTTAACAATAAAATAATGAAAAGAAGATAGAAAAAATAATAGAAAAAAACCGAGGCCTGAAAGGCTGAGGGCATTGAAGGATTAAGATGGAAAAGAAATAAGAGAAAATCTGAAAATTTTTCAGATGAAATTTGTATATATATATAACAAGCGAGTCTTCTACAGCTGGCGCCGCTTCTCGCATCCTAATTTCCAGCGTTTTCTGTCGAAGCAATCTTCAGTTGTTAGATCTCTGGCGGTCATTGCATCGTCGACATCGTCTCTCCAGGATCGTCTTGGTCTACCTCGTTTTCTTCTAGTTGGCGGAGTCCATACTTCTATTTTTTTTGGCCATCTATTTTCCGGCATTCTCTGAAGGTGTCCATACCAGTTAAGTCTTTTGGCTTCGATTGTGTCTATTATGTCAAGATCGATTTCCATTTCTCTCCGAATATCTTCGTTTCTCACCCTATCTAGTCTAGTGAGCTGGCAACATCGTCTCCAGTAGTTCATTTCCATGGCCTTAATTTTTGATTTGTTTCTTTGGTTTATTTCCCAGAGTTCGGCGCCATACAGTCCAATACTTTCTATTATTGTTTTATAAATTCTTCTTTTATTTTCTTTTGTTATTTTTTTATTCCATAATAGTCCGTGTAGCTGTCTGGTGGCTGATCTTGCTTGGCCAATCCTGGAATGTATTTCTTCGCTACTTCCTGCTTTTGATGTTATTTGGACTCCCAAGTACTTAAAATTGTTAAAATTGAAATATATTGAAATATATTGAAATATTGTTAAAATGTTAAAGGAGGGGAGTGAAATTATTCTCGAAGAATTGAAAAAAATATTTCTGACGAATGTCTTCACAGAGGAGAAGTCACAAATGATTAGAGTGAAAGTTTGACAACACTTCTCTTCAAAAAAGGAGACAGGCGTGATCTGAAGAACTATTAACCAATCACCCTGCTGTTCCAAATATACAAACTGTTTATGAGAGGGATAACTAACAGGTTAAAAGGTCGAAACTCAATAGGTATCAACCGGTAGAGCAGGCAGGATTCCGAAAGGGTTACAGTACAGCGGATCATCTTCTTAGAGTTAGAACTCTAATAAAGAAAGCCAATGAATATTACTTGAACTTATACATTGGCTTTGTTGATTAGGAAAAGGCATTCGATTCTATACAACTTTAAGCAATAGAGAGAGCTATGAACAACTGCAAGATAGATTCTCGATACAACATGCTTATACATAATATTTACAAGACAGCTACAATGAAAATACAAATAGATGTAAAAAACCAAAGCTATACCAATTAACAGAGGAGTTCTTCAGGAAGATCTTATCTCAGCAAAGCTATTCATACTTGGACTTGAAGAGGTGTTCAAAGACATTAACTGGACAGAAAACGGAGTAAATGTTAATGGAAGAAAACTGAGTCATTTAAGATACGCTGATGACAATATTCGTTACAAGTTTCGAAGAACTAGAGACCATGATAACGCAACTATTTTAAGTTTCGAAAAAAGTAGGTCTTAAGATGAACTTGAAAAAATGTACAAAATAATGACAAATGCACCGAAAATGAGAAAAATAACGTTAACCTTCGGAGTACGGAGATTATTTGACTTACTTAGATTACGAAGATGGGTTAAGTGTGACCCATTCTCATTCTATTTATATATAAGGATGTTTTAAATAGTCAGTATTATTAAACAGTATCTTTAAGTCAACAAAAAAAAAAACATAGAAACATAAAAATTATGATCCCATATTTTTGTATTTAAATTTTTTAAGATGGTTCACCATCGTGGTCTTTTTGGCAGTAGTTGACAATATGAACTTCTTCGCGTTTTAAATGAGTATTACAAACAAATCTTTTACACATGTCACACCTTTTTGAATATTTATTGTCACTACCCCTACAAGAACAACAACGACCTCGTTTTGTTGCAGATTTCGGCACTTCGGTTTGCTTTTTTACACTAACACCGGTGGTCTCTATTGCAGCAATTACGGATTTAGGGTATCTGGTGGGTTCTTCTTGTATTGCTTCCGCTCTTAGATTTATATTGGGCGAGGTTAATTGTTTTCCAAGCTCCTCCAGAAATAGTTTTCTGCGATGTTTTATATTTACTTGGCTGTTAAGGGCCATCTTCTTGTTGCTCTTTTACATGTGTACTCTCTGATCAATTTATCTAAAATATCGACTCCACTTTTGGTTCTGTTGTAATCCAAAATAATCTTTGGTTTAAATTTTTGGTTTTCATCAGAAATTTCATGTTCATTGTGTAAGGTCGATAATAATACAACAAACTTATTAGGCTTGGTTACATATGAAACTAAGGTAATGTTTTTAGTGAACAAAAATTTTAAAGAATACAGTGAGCGATCTGTCATTTCAAGCAATGATTTGGGTAAACTCTTCCTATTTTTTCTGATAGTGCCCAAAAGAGTTAAATTTTTGGTTAACAGTTCTTCAGATAAAGCAATATCTGTAAAAAAGTTATCAGTTGTAATATTTCGACCAGACCTATACCAATGTTCTGCAAGTGTTTTAACAACTCTTGGGCCTTGGTTACGTTCAGATTGATCACCAATCTTTCCAGTATATATCTCAAAGTTACAGCAATAAAACTTTTCAGCGTCACATAGGGTCCAAGCCTTTATACCGTGTTTCTTTGGTTTACTTGGTATATAAATCAAAAATGGACAACGTCCCCTAAAATCTATAAGCTGCTCGTCAATAGTACCAAAAGAAGATGGTTCGTATGATTTCCTACAATTTTGGGCAAATAGATCAGCGATTTCTCGAATAGGAGCTAATTTATCTCGTTCTCTTCTTTCTGCTCTCGTTTCCAAATTATCAAAGAAAATATGCTTCAAAATACATATAAACCTATCCCGGCTTAGAGATGCTTCATATATAGGACGCATAAATGCATTATTTTTATTGGACCATAAATTATGCACCTTCTCATGGGACTCTCTGAACCTTCCACATAATATAAGTATACCAAAAAAAGCACGCAGGTCGACTAGATCAACTTCAATCTAATCCTTCATTTTTTTCTCGTTCTTACTGTTATACGCAGCTATGAACTCAATAGCTCTCTTATTGGTATACTCAAGAATCATTGACATTATACTATCAGAAAAAAATAAATTTAAGGCATCCATGCATGTCTCAATATTTTGACTTTTCTTAGTTAGACCTACGTTTTTCTGTAATAAATTACATGCCAATGTCTTACAATTTTTTGGAGCTAAATAACGCCATGTTCGTCCTTCGAACAAAACATCAGATACGCTGGATCTTTCACTATCTATATTTTCAGAAGTTGTCGCTAAAACTTCCTCATTCTCGAGTTCAGTAATTGATAAATTACTTTCATGTGCTTCTGGGTTACAACCGTCATTATCACTCGCTTCACTATTGCTTTCATCCAGCTCTGCAACATCATCTTCTTCACTATCTGATAGGAGTAAGGCATACAACTCAGCTTCACTCAAAGGTTTATTCTTTTTCCAGATTTTGATATAATACTGCACATTTCAAGATCGATGCTTGAATTAAATTTATCAACAAACGTGAAATACCGCTTTACACCAAAGTTAGACCTCTCGTCTCGGACCTTCAAATATAATATGCTTATTAGACACTACATTACTCCCAAGGTTAACTTCTATCTACAAATATTTCTACAAACATAATCATTTTGCCTTGAATACGTTTACTGGAAAACAGAGACGGCTGCTTTTTACGTGTACCTACAAACACATTGAAAAATTCTTCAAAATCCGAAAACCGGTCAGGACTGACTCGACATCATAGATTTTACGTAGAGGAAAAACTGCAATTTGCATGTTCACGAATGATACACGAAAAAATAGATTGAAACAAATAAGGAGAACTTACGAACAATCAGATTTGTGAAAAAATTTTCATGAAATATTAAGAAATAAGTGAATTTCGGGTCACGCTTGACCCAGTCTTCGTACTCCGAAGGTTAAACGACGTAATTTAGAAACAGTAAGCGAATACATCTACCTAAGACAGATAATGAAAGTTAGCAATGATAATAAATTTGCCAAATTACCAGGAGAATAAGATTAGCGTGGGAAAGATTTGGAAAACTGAGTTAAATCTTAAAAAGCACTAAAATAAAACAATATTTGAAAACCAGAATTTACGATTAGTATAACCTCCCTATACTCACGTCTGGCTCACAGACGTGGGCACTCACCAAGTCTAATATAGATAAAACAGTAAAAGCACAAAGAGCAATGGAAAGATCAATGCTCGGGGTGAGACTTATAGACAAAAAAAAACAAACAAATGGATTAGAAGCAAAACCAAAAAGACTCAGAAGAATATGCTGCCAAATTAAAATGGACCGACCGTCGCAGGACACAATGCCCGACTGAAGGATAAGAGATGGAACCACGAAATACAACAATGGAGACCATGGTTAGGAAAGAGAAGCAGAGGAAGACCATAAATGAGGTAGGCGGATGATATTAAGAAGATCGGAGGACACAACTGGAAGCAAGTGGCGCAAAATAGGAGACACTGGATTAATTTGGTGAAGGCCTATGTCCAAAGTTGGATTACTTAAGGCTGAATAAGAAGAAGAATGCTTGTTTGGACTATATAGTTTAACTTTGGTTTTGTAAAATTTCTTAATGGCTGAATATATATACATTAAATAAAAATCACACAGTGGACAAAAGTATAAAAAATATAAATAATGTTCTAACAAGACACACATGTTTTGGCGGATATCTTCAGGCATTTGAACTTCTTGAAATTAAAACTATAATGCCAGGGAAACCTTGTTTGTGAATTTTCTAGATATTAAAAGTTTTTCTTAAATAACTAAACATTTTTCCAAGTATATTAAAGCAGAACTTTTGCATTTTCCTCTCTTAAATCTCTTTGTGATAGTAATAGAGATATTGATGTTACATAGTTCTCACGTTTTATTAATAAACTTGATTTGGATTTTAAAAAACGATTTTCTGATTTCCACAAAATTGACAATGTGCAACTGTAAAGCAACAGTTTTTTACTCAAGCCTAATGGTGTATGGACCAGCGAAGCAGCAGACACATTACGCCGCACCAATTTATTAAACAAAGATGGGAGAAAAAACAATATAATAGATCTATAATCATCTTTTTCCTTGAGTTTATTTCATATCCCTCCCTAAACGATGTGGCTTAGTTGTCTGGTTTTAACTACGTAGCCAGGATAATCTCCTGAGGGGAGGAGACAACTACTGGAGAGTTTCTGGGTAACCTCCCCCCCCCCCGCCGGTTACACCACTCAGGGAATATAATTGGTGAATATCTTACGCACTTATCATAAGAATAGTGGAATGTGTAGTTCTAATTATAATCTGCGAAAATTGTAACGTTAAGCTGTGTTTATACCGGTTGATAAAAGAGAATTAGCAATCGCTACAGCAGAAGATGAACACCTGAAGCATATTATGGAACAACAAAGTTTTAAATTAAAATGTATTGTCACATTAATAAGGATGAAGATATATACAATACTCAAAATTTAATAATCTTAATAATTATTAGATTAGAATATAATTTAGATATTTAAACTTTAAGAAGAAGAAATTTACAAGTTGCTACAGATCAGAAAAGTATATTGCACATATAACTACTAAACTAAAGTAATTATTAAAATCCTTACATTATCTTTTACAACCATTTCAAGAACCAAGAGTAAAACTTACAAATTTTGTAAAGCGATGAATCTGTTGATGTTTTTAGACTTTATATATTAAATTATAGATATTTGTACTAACCTGTACTTCTTTTGTTTGGGTGTTTTGGATCGTAATACCTTCCATGACATACCAAATTCATCATCGAGCTTAATTGTTTGCCACAGTATGTTGCTGCACGTTTTGAAAGATTATTTGCGTAATATGGTGAGCAAGTAAAACAATACAGATTGATGAAAATAAAGATGAGTGTGTATTGAAGATGCATCTAAAAATAAAAATTGATAGGGTTAGGTATTTACTATTCGCTCCGTGCGTGACTGACGCGACACCTATTGCCTACATCTGACTATTTTGGACCTCCCAATTTGAGGTTAAACATACGTTAAAAACATACGAAATTGAAAATTACTAACAATTAGTTTTTTAATTATATTTTTTAGTTTATGTACAAAATAAATGTATTAAAAACTGGGTTTCTAAAAATTCTTCACAATTTATTTTTTCAACCAAAACGGCGAAGAAAGCAAAAATCTCGTACTGGAAAATCAAGTTTTTCATGTGGAAGAGCATGTAATTAAGAACAGTAATAGTAAAAGTTATGATATAAAAGCTAAAGTCCTCAGACAGGCTGCAGTTAGCTTGAAGCCTTATAAAATATCATTTAAGGTAAATTATATAAATTTTTTCTATTTAAATTGCATAAAAATGAAACTGTGATATTCACTTTTTCATATTAATAGCATGAATCCATCTTTTTCTTTTCTCTAGTGTATATGTTATCTTTGAAAACCTATAAAAACTACACTATTTTTGCTATTATTAGTACAATTAAATACGCCACATATATTTGCACCCATTTTTAATAAAATTTAGGCGTAAAAAGTTAGGTCCAATTTTGTCATATTTCGCCGCTACGCACGCTGGCATCGCTTCAGGGTACCCCTACCATAGTCACGCACAGAGCGAATAAAATCAGTTGTATTAATTGTAGCAAAATGTGTCAAAAAAATAATATAATAAAAAAAATAATAATAAAATTTGGTTAGTAGTGGTTTCTTATAAAATTGTTCCTGTTCTTTTCAACGGTGATAGTAGTTTTCTTCCAACACGGACGCAAATAAGTTATTTTCAACTTTACAGTTGAAGGTCCGTCTCAAAGATGGATTCCTGCTATGAAGGTTTATTTCAAAAACGGACATCTCGCCAACAACCAGTGAGAATGCTGTATTGTGATCACATGAACAATAAATCAACAATGGCCATTGCTTTTAACTTGTCCGATGTTAATCGTTTTATTTGTGTTCATTATTAGTTTAAATTGTTTGTTTCGCAAATTATTTTTTTTTTGAACCTATTCTCTATCCTTCCATTGTTAGATATAGGTCTCCCCCAGTTCTCTCCATCTTTCTCCATCCTGAGCTGTTCTCTGCCATGTGGGACCTTCTTGTTTCCTGATGTCATCTTTCCACCTCATCTGTGGTCTGCCTCTTGATTTCTTTGCATTGTATGGACGCCACTTTCCGATGACATTGTTCTATCGTCCGTCTTGGAGTCGTTCATTGTGTCCAGCCCATTTCCATTTCACTTTTGCTGCTTGTTCTATCGCGTCTACTGTCTTTGTTCTGGTTCTGATCCATTGGTTACATTTTCTATCTTTAAGTACCCAACATTTGTCTCTCCATCGCTCTTTGTGTCTTTCTTATGCTATCCAAATTGGCCTGTGTAAATGTCCATATCTGTGCTCCGTAGGTGAACACCGGTATTATACAGAAGTTATATACCTTGCTTCGTATGTATAGAGGGATTGTTTGATTTTGTAGAATGTAAGAAAGTTTGCCGAACGCTGCCCATCCTATTCTTACTCGTCTCGATATTTCGGCTGTTTGATTTTCTCTGTTATCTCTGACTGCTTGTCCTAGATAGATATACTCATTTACCTGTTCTATTTTTTCTGTTTGTATTTTTATTGCCTCTTGGTCTTTCGTGTTTGTCTGTTTGTTTGTATTACTTTTGTTTAGTTGAAGTTAATTTTTAGGCCTTTTTGCAACGATTTTTCATAAAGTTCATTCAGCATTAATTCCAGTTTTTGTCGTTCCGAGGAGATCAGGAGTATATCATCCGCATATCTAAGGTGATTTACAATATTGGCAATATCATTTTAAAGTCGTCTACTTTAAAATACATAATGTATGTCTGAATTGTCAATATAAATGAGTCAGATAAAATTAATTTATTAGAAGAATTTTTCACTATGTCACAAAAAACAAAATTTGTTTAATTTACTGTTTGTATTTTGAGAACGATTTCCGAAGTGGAAGTGAAACGTCAATAAACGTATTTTTATCTTTAAATATATATATATATATATATATATATATATATATATATATATATATATATATATTATATAATATATAATATATATAATATATATATATATATATATATATATATATATATATATATATATATGTATATATATATATATATATATTACATGTGGAACTAGATTTTATTTTTCATAGCAATCAACGTTTCACCAGGAAACCCTTGCCTTTGTCAAGATTTTAAAATTTAAAATGTACATGGATAAGAACAAATAGTTATTGTAAAATATGTATAACTTACCAAAACGTACAACGGGACACAGACAATAATGAACTCACAAATAAAAGATGATATCTGATATCTTATGGTTTACTGTCATTAGTGTATATTTATTTATATATGGGCGTATCATTGATGTTTTCGAAAAAGATAAAGTGGAGCTATGTTATGACTTTAGGAGATCCTTATGGTGCTATATTTATTATTATTTAAATCAGATTGAAATATATTTTATTTAGGTTTTGCGTATCTTTTTTTGTTATTTATTGCGTTGGTATTTATTTTTGTTTCTGTTGATTCGTGTATCTCCCTCTTCTTTTTGTTTTTTTCTGTTTTTAAAATTTTGATGTTTTCAAAATAAAATTTATGCTTCTTCTCACTTTCATGTTTTGTGAGCGCAGTGACGTTGTTACAAACAGGACAAACTTACAGAATGGAAAAATTACGTCACGAATCTATTCGAAGACGATAGGAGTAGTTCACCTCCCGATATTACTAACTGCGACGGACCCCTAATAGCACGCTCTGAAGTTATAAAAGCCATACAATCATTAAAATATGGCAGATCGACTGGTCCTGATGAAATTTCAACTAAAATGTATAAGCTTATAAATGATAGCAATGTTTTAGAGACTGTAACTTCTATTATTATTAAAAAATTTTCTGAAGGTAATACATGGTCGTATCTACAATAAATGCGAGGAATACCTGAATGACACTCAGTTTGGTTTCCGTAACGAGTTTGGAACGAGAGAGGCATTGTTTGGAATGAACGTACTTGCTCAAAGATGTCGTGATATATCTATAGATATATACTGTTGTTTTATTGACTTCCAAATGATCGTGTTAAGTACTCTGTATTAATCGAAGGTCTAAAAGACATTGGCTTGGACGGAAGAGATGTTCGAATAATTGCAAATTTATATTGGAATCAAACAACACCAGTTTTAGTAGATGGTGTGGAATCACAGGCTCTCAATATTAAAAGAGGAGTACGGCAGGGATGTATCTTGTCACACCTGCTTTTTAACGTTTACTCCGAAAGAATTTTCAGAAAAGCACTTTCTTAAAAAAAAGAAGGAATACTTGTGAACGACGCAGTCATCAATAATTTGCGATATGCGGACGATACAGTACTCCTAGCTTCTAGTTAAGAAGATCTGCAAACATTACCTGATAGTGTCGTTGAGAGTTGTAGGAAGGCAAGTCTGGATCTTAATATAAGGAAAACCAAAATACTTGTTATAAGTAAACAACAGCATATAAAACCGTCTATATGTAAATAATACCAAACTTGAGCAAGTTGATAAAATCGTTTAACTTGGATAGCAATTAAATTGTAACGCAGAAAGTCACGGCGAAATTAAATATGGGATAGAGTAGGCTAGAGTTGTTTTTAGAAGGATGTCCAAGGTGTTATGCAACAGAGACCTAAAATTGGCTTTTAAGGATCCGCCTACATCGCTGCTACGTATTCTCGGTCTTTATGGTGTCGAGTCCTAGACTGTAAATAAAATCAATCTAAATCGCCTTGAGGCTTTTGAAATGTGGTGCTATAGAAGAATTTTAAAAGTTTCCTGGGTGGAGAAGATTAGAAACTCCACAAAATATCATGCAAGGAAAAATAGCAGGCAAACGCAGTCCAGGACGAAGAAGAACCTCATGGTTGAAGAATTTGCGAGATTGTATGGTGTTGATACAAGCATGTCATTTAGGGTGGCAGTGAATAAAATTAAGATAGCTATGATGGTAACCAACGTTCTGAAAGGACATGGTACATGAAGGAGTGACGTTGTTTTGTCATATTTGTGAGAACGAATTCTAGATTTACGCAGTTGACTGGTTTGACCGATATAGACACCTTCACAGGTAATACATGGTATCTTGTAAAAAAATGTGATTCCAAGTTTTGAAGTTTTTGTTTTTAGTTTTGTGAAATATTTATTTAAAAGGTTGTTGCCTTTGAGGGCCGCTGTTATGTTATGTTTGGCTAAAAGATTTGTTAATTGTTCGGATAAAATATTATGATATAAATAAAAATGTTTGGTTTTTAAATAAATATTTCACAAAACTAAAACACAAATAAAACACAAACTCCAAAACTTAAAAAATCACATGTTGTTGATAACAAAAACGTCCATAGATAGAGTAGAGTAGAGTATTTATTTGACTACATAATAGATAAAAATATTGTTTGTAGAAAGTCAAAAAATATACATAGTATATAAAAAAGAAATATAAATCGCAACTTAAATATATACAAACAAAAACACATTTTAAACAGCAAAAGATTTATCGCAAAGTTAGGGTAAGCAGTTCAGTGGATGTTCTGCATTGAGTCATATAATCTTCTGAGCAGTAAAAACAATGTTTTAAAAGATATTTTTTCTAACTTTATCTAAACTATTACAGTTTAGCTGTTTAATACTTTTAGGTAAAATATTGTAATAGTTATAACTAAAACAATTTTTTTTTGAAAGAGTTCATATACTGCGATTTGTTCATATGTATGTAGTGACAGTTTCGCGTATTGTAAACGTGGACATTATACTGCTTTATTAAATGGGCACGTTTTCTGTGAATTTCAGTTAGAACTTAAAATATCAACAGAGTAGGCAGCGGCATAATTTTAAATTGAATGAAGAAATATCGACAGTG